TAATTAATATTTTTAAACTACTTAGACAATATTTGATCAGCCAACTGATTAGATCTTTTTTGATCAGTCACATCGTAGACCCAAGCAGATACTTGGAATGAAAATTAGCAGAATAGCTTGGGAAGATGCATTTGCCGAGGCTTATTCAATCAGATGCATTAATTTGGTCAAAAGATTTCATTACTACATAAACAAGCCTTCTTCCAGAATTAATCAGCTGAGCTCCACAGCACACAATGAAAGGATTTCTCTGGACACAGAAAGCAAGTGGCTTATCAGACTCTCTCTAGCCATTTTCAGATATTCTATATAGGCAAAACAAACAGTCAAAGCAGGGGCGGAGGAGGATTACAATAGCAAGCCTCACCCTGACCTATATATGTTCACTGGAAGATATATAATAAAACTTACATACATATTTGTGTGTATTCAGGGCTCTTTCTGTGTGATCAGGAACCATGAGTTCTCGATCACATGATGAAAGCCATATATGCATATATCTGTGGCCTAAAGCCATATATGTATATATCTGTGGCCTACCTACATATATTAAGACAAGCCACGTTGGATCAGGCCAATGGCCCATCCAATCCAACACTCTGTGTCACACAGTGGCCAAAACCTAGGAGCCATCAGCAGATCCACCAGTGGGGTCAAAACTCCAAAAGCCTTTCCACTGTTGCCCCCCAAGCACCAAGAATACAGATCATCACTGCCCTAGACATAGTGTTCCATCTATAGTAAAGGTAAAGGTTTCCCTTGCTCAAAAGCCAGTTGAATCCGACTCTAGGGGGTGGTGCTCATCGTTTCCAAGCCAGCGCTGTCCGAAGACTTTTTCCGTGGTTATGTGGCCGACATGACTAAAGGCCAAGGTGCACGGAACGCTGTTTCCTTCCCACCAAAGCGGTACCTATTTATCTACTTGCAATTCTTTGCTTTCAAACTGCTAGGTTGGCAGGAGCTGGGGCCAGAGTCGGGAGCTCACTCCATCATGCGGCACTTGGGTCTCGAACTGCCAAACTACCAACCTTCCGGTTTGCCGCTCAGCATCTTAACCTCTGAGCCACCATGGCCCTGTTCCATCTATACCTTGTGGCTAATAGCCACTGATGGTCCTTGGCTCCATTCAATCCCCTCTTGAAGCTATCTATACTTCTAGGCACCACCACTTCCTATGGCAGTGAATTCCACAAGTTAATTACATTACTATGAACACAGGTCAGGAATGGAACTTACTGATGAGATCCCACATGTCCAGCCATCCCCACATTCATTCTACCCTCTAAGAACATCTGAAAAGTGCTCTGTGAAGCCTTCTACTTATGTTGCTTTGAATATATAAGAGAAAAGTAGCCAGATTTTTTAAAATTAATTTTCATCCCATCTTTCTTCTAAGAATTCTCCCCCACTCCTCTATTTTAGCCTCACTGCAACCCTGTGAGGTAGGTTAGACTGAGAGTTAACAACTGGCTCAAGATCAACTAGTAAGCATCATGGCAGAAGGGTATCTGAACCCTGGTCACCCCAGTCCTAGCCTGACCATTACACCATACAGGGATCTCACATGGGATCACGACTCCTAAATTCAATGCGTTCAGAGGATATCTGCAGAACCCGTGAGCCCATAACTGTTCAAGCATAAACTTCTCTCTGCGTGACTGAGAACCTTCCTTTTTGCATCATACCCCAAACACTGCTTGGGCCATTAGATTGCTAATTTAATCAAATCTCGGTTTAGAGGTTTGTCAAGATAACTGCTTGGCTAAACCAGTGATATTTGCTAAATGGCTTGGAAGCCGCATGTGGTTCTTTGATGTTCCACTTGTGGCTCTTCAGAGCACCATCCCCCAATGTGGTGTCAACCTTATGGGTTCAGGAAAGTGGGTAACACCCTTGCTCAGGGGAACTTGTGGTTGGCAGGTGTTTCCCGCCAGATATTGTAACTGTATGCAAGACCGTCTGGGAGGGAAAGGGTGAAGAGAATTCTGTCACTCGGGTGCACTTGGCAGCTGGCCCCACCCTCTCATGGGTTAGATGCTGTGCCTCTTTAGCCTTTGCTTGCCTTCTGTTTTTATCTTATAAGGTAAAGGTGAAGGTTTCCCTTGCTCGAAAGCCAATCAAATCTGACTCTAGGATCACAGTGCTCATCTCTGTTTCCAAGCCGAAGAGCCAGAGCTGTCTGAAGACATCTCCGTGGTCATGTGGCCAGCATGACTAGATGCCGAGGCGCACAGAACGCTGTTACCTTCCCACCGAAGTGGTACCTATTTATCTACTTGCAATTTTTTGCTTTCGAACTGCTAGGTTGGCAGGAGCTGGGACCAGAGATAGGAACTCACTCTGTCATGCGGCACTCGGGTCTCAAAACTGCTGAACTACTGACCTCCCAGACTGCAGTTCAGCATCTTAACCACTTGGGCCACCACCCTATTCTTCTCTCTCTTACCTGGGCTTGGAGCTGTAGCAAGTTACATTTTTTGAAGTCAATCTGTTCACAATATGTTACATGTACCAACATGAATATGTCATGCAAGATGTGCTTGTATTTTTGTAAACAAAAAATTCTTTCTCTTGTTATCACTGGAGTCAGATCATCTTTGTAATTTGACTGAACAGCATTTTTCCATAACTGGGAAATGTGGAGGATTAGGGACACTGTGTAAAGTTTTTGTGCTTCCAAGGCAATTGATTTTTTATGACATTTAACCCAATAGTTCCTACCACAAAACAGCTACTGGCAGAGGAAAAATTGTGAGACTCCTTAAGGAAAAGGCTCAAGCCAAGGATGGAAGGAAATGTGGTTCTTCTTGTTGATGGTAATTGCAAATGGCCCTGACTTGGAAGCTAAGCAGGGTCCACCATGCAAAGGAGACCACCAAGGAAGTCCAGGGTCACTATGCAGAGGCAGGCAATGGCAAGTCACCTCTGAACATCTTATCTTGAAAACCCTGCAAGGTCCCGAAAAGTCAGCTGCAACTTGACAGCTTGCAAATGTGGCTGTGAGCCGCAGCATGAGCACTGCTGGGCTAGAGTATTGGTGACAGTGGGCTGCATCAGTCTTGGAGAGGAAATTGTGAATTTTTATTTTTAAGTGAATTTGAGAAAATGAAATTTTAAAAAGTCATCTGATTTAGGTGTTTTTGAAAGCAAGCCTAAGCAGTTCTGCACAAAGGAAGTTCCGTATTAATCAATGGATATCACGCCCAGGGAAAGTATTTCTAAAATTGCAGCCTTTATGGAATAAACATTCCAAAATTTGTGTTAATACTCACCATGCAGTGTTTGCTAACTCTGAATTCGGGCTCATGAGCAGGGTTGCCAGGTCCCTCCTGGCCACCAGCAGTGGGGTGGAGACTCCAGGTTGGGAAACTCCTGGAGATTTGGGGGGATGGAGCCCGGGGAGGCCAGGGACCTCAGTGGGGCACAATGCCATAGCATCCACCACCCTCCGAAGCATCCATTTTCTCCAGGAGAACTGATCTCTGTAGTCTGGAGATGAGCTGTAATTCTGGGGGGTCCCCAGGTCCCACCTGGAAGCTGGCATCCCTACTTGTAAGGGATGCCTTTTAGGTGCAACTTTCAGGATTCGAAGAGGAAATAATTGGTGTTGTGCGAAAAGAATTGCATCTGACAAACATTCACTGAAACCACAGTTGTGCAGGAAAAGAAAATAAACTGAGGATTCATCAACTGAAGTGGCTTAAGAGCGCTAGTTTTTGGGACTAGCACAGAATGCTAAACCTCCTGCTTAACATGCTTAGGGGAATCCTCAACCTTTGATTTTCAAGGTCAGCGCTACTGCATGAACTACTAGAGGTCAGTCAGGTTCTCTAGTGTACTTAGAAAACACAAGGAAGCAGAGGCAAGTTGCACACAAAAGAATTCAACAGAGCTGGCAACGTTGGACAAAAGATGTCCCCCTGGTGCTTTGTCAGAGATAGAAAGGAAGCTGCTGCTGCTACTACAAGAACTGAAACTACAGGATTGTGGTGCCTCCCAGTCTGTTTGAGACTGAGCAAAGAACGGCATAGCATAATCAGAAGTATAATTCTATTTTTACCTAAAAGACTGGCAGGGGTGAAAACCACATCCTACACTTGAAGGCTGTATGCAGATGTTCACCCTAATGCAGGAAAGTTAGGAACTGAGACAAGCACAATTTCGTCCCGATTCCCACACACAATGCATTCGAACGAACGTATACATGGACAGATTCAGGCGGCTTTTGAGATTTTATTCCAGTTTTGTCTGAAGAAGCGTGTTTTGCACAGGAAAGCTTACACTTTGAATAGAACTCTGTTGGTTTCAAAGGTGCCACTTGACTCAGACTTTGTTCGTATATGTGGACAGTGCAATCCTAAACATTTTTGTCATTCATCTGTCCCTATTGCTTGAGGGTTCCCCCACCCCATGGGTTTTGCTCTCTCTAGTAGACCCAGAGAGAGCAAAACACATGTGGGAAAGGGGGACGGACGGACCCAAAGCAATAGGGACAAACGAGTGACAAAAACGACAGTGCGGAAGCGTTACTCTGCTTCGAATTGCACCGCCGGTCTCCGTTCCTCCACAAAATAGTTTTGGGACGGACGATCTGGAAGAAGAGATGGCTTGCAGGGGAAAAAAGGATAAAGCGTCTCTCTTCCCTAGTAGCTCGGATCACGTTGGCAGCCTCCACCCATATCCGTACAATATTTTTTTTTTAAAAAAAAAACTAAAATGAGAGGTTCATCACAGGGCTGGCTTATCACGCGTGAGTCTGTCCCTAAACTGAGAAGCGCTGGGATCCACGCGACCCAGCAACTGAGAGCAGCAACTAACTTTGCGTGGAAGGGGAGAGATTTGGTACTGGTCTTTCTCCCCCCCGCGCTTCCTGAACCCAGGAGGGCAGCGCCCCAAAGAAGCGGCCGCGCGCTCTCACCCGCTCCAATCTCAGTCCCCAAACTGCAGGCTCTGCCCGCCCACTGCGCCGACGGCCCCAAGCGGAGGCGCCACCCACTCACCCCGTATCCATGTCGGCGGCGTCCTCCATGGCTGGCGGGCAGCGCCAGGCGCAAGAGGGGGTTCCGCGCGCGGAGTGTGTCCCGCCGACAGGCTGGGCGCGGCTGGTTTCCCTGCTTCGACGCCGCCAGCATCTCT